TATGGCTATTGTGAAGAGGAGGATGTAATCGGATTCAGATTCAGAATCAGACTCAAACTCAGAATCAGACTCAGAGATCACATGGTAAAAAGTTCAAAAGTTAGATTTTTTATGAAATGGAACTTTTTCTAAAACAGTTCAATGAACGTCCCTTTCTGCGAGCTGCAGCCAGGTCTTCTACACTAAGGACCGACTCTGATGGGATGGGCAGGGCTGACTCTGGTGCACCTCCCCCTTCGTGGTTCTTAGTGATGGAACTCCGGCTCCTTTAAAAGAACCGGTTCTTACGGCTCGACTCACTAAAACGAACTGGCTCTTTTGGGTCTAAACGGCTTTTTTTGTTTTTTAAATGAATTTGTCACCAGAAATGATGTAAAATGTGTGTGAAACTACTGACCAACCTACAAACTTACATTACATCAATGCTTTATCATTTAAAGCGAGACTGGGCAGTTTGGGCTTGTTTTCTGCACCTCTAGTGTCCCCTCCGCCTCCTGCTATGTGAGTTTACACCTGTACCTGGTTTAACAAAAGGTCTTTAACCGGCTATTGATGCCCCTTAAGGGTTTACAGCCGGTTAACCGGAAACCAGACCCCCCCCCCCCCCCCCCCCCCCCACACACACACACACACATTGGGCAGTTAACAAAGGAAAGCAACAAGTAGCAACAAAAGAAGAGAAGAACAAAAACCAGTGATAACCCTTCTACACATCATGGATTTTAATGGAAGGAGGATGAATGCATGCCAGCCCAGCCTTCCCTCCAACATGACTGAGACATTAGACTGTTTTCCCATCATTCCACTGGAGAATTCCTACTTTACCCCCACATGTTGCACCTTTAACACAGGATGAAACAAATGCTGTAAGTAATGTGGATTCTGTGTTCCTGCCTTGTTCTTTACTTGTTACCCTTTCTGGATCAGGTCTGTGTCCTGGACCAGTTTCTCCAGTTCTGTGGAGAGAAAGTCCTGCAGGTTGGAGGTTTTCAAGTTGGGGATCCAAGTAATGAAACCTTGGTGAGCCAGGAAACACATTTTCTACCAGAAACCACAAACACACACACTTAAACACACACTCATCCATGTGTGTGTCAGCATGTGAGGCCCTCTGTCCCACTTCCTTGTTTTACTTCTTCTTTGGTTTGGACTCTGTGGGAGCAACGGAGGAACTGATAACCACAAAGATCTGCTTACATCCCCTCCAGAACTCTCTTCTAGTATTTATAGGACATCTGGAGCAACAGAACACACTCAGTGACCCAAACCCAGGTTTCAGGAGAAGACTTTCAGTACGGCAGCAGGAACTCAGGGGCGTTTTCTATCAAGAACAGAAACTCAGGAACGAACTCACAACAAGAGCATGGGTGGAGCTCTTTGGGGGAACAGGTGGGGGATGTGACAACCCCCTAGACCAGGGGTGTCAAATATACGGCCTGCAAGTGGGTTAAATCCGGCCCACGGGATGGTTGTGTAAACTTTATTTTCAAACTTTACAATGTAGAGTGAAAATAAACTTATTGTGAGCAAGTTTCATCTGTAATGAGTATAAATGCAACAAAGCTGCGCTCAAGGCTCACACAAGAACTTGACTCACATCCTGAAGTTGGCCGCCACTCAGGATGTGACTTCTGATGTTGATGTGCTGATGAAAGCTAAAAGATGTAAAGTAAAATGAGTCAAATATACTTTAAGTGCTGCATGAAACTGATCTAACTATGTGATCTGTAAGCTCTTTGAATCTCTGAGGAATATATATTTTTCATTTATTGACTTTTAATTTTTTTTTTAATTTTCAAGCACACTTCAGGTGTTGTACTTGTACTATTTTGGATACGCTGTCCTCAGGCTCCAGCCTTGTTTTATATTGATTGTTTTAAAACAAAGAAAACAATCTGAAGTTGTTTTTAATTTACCGGTCTGGCCCACTTGGGACTAGATTTCCCTCAAAGTGGCCCCTGAGCTAAAATGAGTTTGACACCCCTGCCCTAGACGCACACACACACACACACACACACACACACACACACACACACACACACACACACACACACACACACACACACACACACACACACACACACACACACACACACACACACACACACACACACACACACGCACACACACACACACACACACACACACCGTTTTATGAGGCAGTTTTGATCCACTCATGCTTTCTACTTATGTTTTTACACAATCAGTCGCACACACGCTGGTGGGGATGAGCTATGATGTACCCACAGCTGCTCCGGGCTGCGCTGGCGTTACCGGGCCCTCCGACCTCACGAGCCGGCAAGGCGGGGCTTGCCCAGGGACACAACAGCAGCATCGTCTGGTCAGAGCCGGGACTGAACCTACAACCTTCTGATTACTGGACAACCCGCTCTACCTTCTGAGCTCCTGCTGCCCTAAACACCCATCAACAATCAATAAAGAGAAGAAGAAGAGAAACAACATAATTACCAATAACAGCCACAACAGCATCAACAACTACACCAGAAAACTCCTGAAGAAGCATTGAAGGGGCCTGCCAGCTGGGCCACAAGACAGCAGGGTGCAGGAGAACCGTGTTAAAGGATCCTGCTGTGAACATTAGGAACCAGACAGAAGGGTGGTCTTATGGAATGAATGCATTCACTAAGGTTTACAGGGAATTTAAACTTTTACCAAACTTGTACTGAAGGACTAATAATAACCAACATGAGAGGAGATGCATGACACATATTTCATCTTCAAATTATCCAGAAGAGCCAAATACTGTAAAATGTGTGTTCTATGGTTAGCGACCCGTTTAAACTAGAATGATGTTTCTGGGTTAACCCTCATGACCATCAACTGTTAGTCCACGGCTGTAAAGCAACCTCAGCCTTCAGTGTCTGGTTGCTGGTTAGGAAACCGTTTCATCTTTGAGCTCTCGGCTGTCTTAGGGTGGGTAGGCTCAACTCACAATGCTGCGGCTGCTGTGGCTCCCTGTGAGAAACAGGAAATAATGGCTCTTTGATAGGAAAAGATTGCCAACCCCTGAACTTGATCATCAATTTGTGAAGGGTTAGAAATGAAAATATTGCCCTCTGCTACGTTCCTCTGAGATGCTGAGGACAGTCAAGATGGAACAGTTGATTTAAAAGATGCAACTGCGTTGTCAGATAGAGACCGACTATAGTGAAATTTACTTTCATGTCTCGAGAACTCAGTTATAAAAAACTCAAAGGTTATCAGAAAGTGGTCCGAGAGGACTGGATTATGTGGAAATATCGTTATTTCCTCACACTCTATGCCATAAGTCAGCACAAAGTCCAATGTATGATGGCAAGAGTGGGTGGAGCTATGTATTCTTTGGGTAAAACCAATTGAGTCTAAGATATTACTAAAGGCTACATTGAGGCTATCATTTTCAATGTCCACATGAATGTTAAAATCCCCCACTACAATGACCTTATCAGTATTTAGCACCAAATCAGATAAAAAATCAGAGGTCTGATCCAAAAACTCAGAGTAAGGGCCTGGTGGACGATATAAAACTACAAACAAGAGTGGTTTTACAGTTTTGCAATCTGGATTAGGAAAACTAAGAATAAGATGTTCGAACGAACTGTAGCTATTAATTGGTAAGGGACTGATTAATAAGTCCGAATGAAAAAAGGTTGCTACTCCTCCTCCTCGCCCTGTACTTGAAGCAATATGATGATTTAAATAATTCTAATGAGCCGACTCGTTTAAGCTAACATAGTCCTCTTGCTGCAGCCAGGATTCTGTGAGACAGCAAAGAGATCTGATTATTATAACCTAACCCTAACACTACAAGCCAGGTAAAAATGAAAAGAGGATGGGAAAGCTAACCCTTTCATGTAAATAAAACAAAATTAAAAAATACCGCAATGATATACAATTGTATTTTGGGCTAAATAAATATTTATTGTAAAAAGATAAGTAATAATGAAGCTGAATCTTACAAGTAGGAAATAGTCGAGTGTTGAAATAGCAAAATAAGGTAGATGTAATTAGTTATTCATTTTCTTCTGGAAGCTCTTCGTGTTGCTGACCTTGTGTCCACCAAAGAGGACATCTAATAAAGTTGAGGACACTTGTACTGTGTTGGTCATAACTTCACGTCTCAAAGAATTTATGCCAATATGACCTGTGGACGTTTCCAGCTGCCATCTTTGTTTATGAGTATAAAAGCAACATTTCATCATAATCAACAGGAAATAAATCCGTTATACCTCTGTTAGATGATTGCAGAAGGAACATGCCTCTGCATTAATCACAATAATGATCAATGAGTAATTAAAACAGCAGAAAACATCACAGTAGTTGAAATATGCATTTAGTCAGTCCTTTAGAATATTTCAAACACACAGATATTAAAATATCCACACAGCTAATAATCAGTTCCTAACGAAAGCTTTATGGGAGTTGTTTGTTAAATGAGAGTGATAAATAATAATAACGGTTTTCCAGCCGCATTCCCAGAAGCTTCAGGCTCCTCCAGGACTGCTCAAAGGTGAAGTGAAATAAATAAATAAACAAACAAATAAATAAATAAATAAATAAATAAACAAACAGTTTGTCTGAGGAAACGAAACGTAGCCAGTTCTATTTTGCTGTCAGGTGGACTCTGTTCATGTCTGTTAGGTTAACCACACTTAACCCGTTCACTAGAAGGATTATTGGTTCTCACTAATATCATCCTGATGAAATAAAGCCAAAAGTAGTTTCATGTTTATTGACAGAGTTTCATCATCAAAATGAATCATTTCCAACTTTTTCTGCAAACAAACAAACAAAGTCTGACAGGTTTGATCGATCTGCTTGTTAAAGACGTCTTCATGAATCTTAACATGCCTGCCCTGGTTAAAGAGCAGCTGGTTAGGCTCTAAATCTCGTCACCCATCTCAGTTCTCGTTTTTCTGTTGGGTGTCCTTCTCTGGCCTGATAAGCTAAACAACAGCTGTTAAAATGACATGAATATAAATTAAGAGTCTTTTCCTAACCTGCAGCGAAGCAGCAGCAGAGGGCGAGCGACAGCAGCAGTGAATGGAGCCTCATCTCTCTCTCTTGCAGCAGTTCAGAGTGAAGTCAAGCTGAATGTGACAGGATGAGAAGCTTCCTCCTAAAACTAACTGACCCCCTCCTCCTGGTCACATGCTCATCAGACATGATGGCTCAGCCCAAAAAACAAGAAAAGATCTTACTAGAGATGTTTCGATTTTTGCCCCTGATCTGATTGTATCTGCTCAAACCCAATCCTGATGCGATCCTTCAGTAATTCATTAACCCTCTGGAGGCAGGCTTTGCAGATGTGCAACGTTAAACCTACCTGCCTGGTTACTCCACTTACTTACTTCTTGAGCATTTTTTATCTGAGAAGTTCCCCTGAAGGACTTAGTTGTTCGTCCTTTTGTCAAAACTTATTTAGAGCCTGAGAGGGTTAAAAAGTGAAGGAAAAAGAGAAATACATCCAAGTTGTCCTTTAATGTGCTTTTCTTTCTGTTTTTATGTTGTTTTCTTAATTTATCACCCAGAAAACATCACTCACTCAGGAAGTCCATAGAAAAAACTAAAACTTAATGTTATATATATATATATATATATATATATATATATATATATATATATATATATATACATACATATATATGTATATATATACATATATATATCCACATATATATGTATGTATATGTATATATACATATACATGTATATATATACATATCTATGTATATATATATATATATAAATGTATATATATACATTTATATATATACATGTATATGTATATATATACATGTATATATATACATATACATGTATATATATATATACATAGATATGTATATATATATATATATACAAGTATATGTATATATATAAATGTATATATATACATATACATGTATATATATATATATATATATACATAGATATGTATATATATATACATATCTATGTATATATATATATATATATATATATATATATATATATATATATATAGATATATATATAGATATGTATATATATATATACATATCTATGTATATATATATATATATATATATATATATATATATATAAATGTATATATATGTATATATATATATATACATTTATATATATACATGTATATGTATATAAATACACACACACACACACACACACACACTTCGTCTTCGTCTTCCTCCGCTTATCCGGGTCCGGGTCGCGGGGGCAGCATCCCAATTAGGGAGCTCCAGGCCGTCCTCTCCCCGGCCTTGTCCACCAGCTCCTCCGGCAGGACCCCAAGGCGTTCCCGGACCAGATTGGAGATGTAACCTCTCCAACGTGTCCTGGGTCGACCCGGGGGCCTTCTGCCGGCAGGACATGCCCGAAACACCTCCCCGGGGAGGCGTCCAGGAGGCATCCTGACCAGATGCCCAAACCACCTCAACTGGCTCATTTCGATCCGGAGGAGCAGCGGTTCTACTCCGAGTCCCTCCCGAATGTCCGAGCTCCTCACCCTATCTCTAAGGCTGAGCCCGGCCACCCTACGGAGGAAACTCATTTCGGCCGCTTGTATCCGCGATCTCGTTCTTTCGGTCATTACCCAAAGCTCATGACCATAGGTGAGGATTGGGACGTAGATCGACCGGTAAATTGAGAGCCTGGCTTTCTGGCTCAGCTCCCTCTTCCCCACGACAGATCGGCTCAGCGTCCGCATCACTGCAGACGCCGAACCAATCCGCCTGTCGATCTCCCGATCCCTCCTACCCTCACTCGTGAACAAGACCCTGAGATACTTAAACTCCTCCACTTGAGGTAGGACCTCTCCCCCGACCCGGAGGTGGCAAGCCACCCTTTTCCGGTCGAGAACCATGGTCTCAGATTTGGAGGTGCTGATCCTCATCCCAGCCGCTTCACATTCGGCCGCGAACCTACCCAGCAAGAGCTGAAGGTCAGAGCTGGATGAAGCTAGGAGGACCACATCATCCGCAAAAAGCAGAGACGAGATTCTCCTGCCACCAAACTCGAAACACTCCACACCACGGCTGCGTCTAGAAATTCTGTCCATAAAAGTGATGAACAGAACCGGTGACAAAGGGCAGCCCTGGCGGAGTCCAACCCTCACTGGGAACAGGTCCGACTTACTACGGGCTATGCGGACCAAACTCACGCTCCTCTGGTAAAGGGACTGAATGGCCCTTAACAGAAAGCCACCCACCCCATACTCCTGGAGCGTCCCCCACAGGGTGTCCCTGGGGACACGGTCATAAGCATTCTCCAAATCCACAAAGCACATGTGGATTGCTTGGGCAAACTCCCATGCCCCCTCCATCACCCTTGCAAGGGTATAGAGCTGGTCCACAGTTCCACGGCCAGGACGAAAACCACATTGCTCCTCCTCTATCTGAGATTCAACTATCGATCGGACCCTCCTCTCCAGTAACTTGGCGTAGACCTTTCCAGGGAGGCTGAGGAGTGTGATCCCCCTATAGTTGGAACACACCCTCAGGTCACCCTTCTTAAAGATGGGGACCACCACCCCGGTCTGCCACTCCCTAGGAACTGCCCCCGATGACCACGCAATGTTGTAGAGACGTGTCAACCATGACAGCCCTACAACATCCATAGCCTTGAGATACCCAGGACGAACCTCATCCGCCCCCGGGGCTCCGCCGCTGTGTAGTTGTTTGACTACCTCAGCAACTTCGGCCCCCGAGATCGGACAGTCCATCCCCAGGCCTCCCAGCTCTGGTTCCTCCTCGGAATGCGCATTGGTGGGATTGAGGAGCTCCTCAAAGTATTCCTTCCACCGTCCGACTATAGCCTCAGTTGACGTCAGCAGCTCCCCATCCCCACTGTAAACAGTGTGAGCGAGTTGCTGCCTTCCTCTCCTGAGGCGCCGGACAGTTTGCCAGAACCTCTTTGGAGCCGATCGATAGTCTTTCTCCATGGCTTCACCAAACTCCTCCCACGCCCGAGATTTTGCCTCGGCAACTGCCACTGCTGCACCCCGCTTGGCTATCCGGTACCTGTCTGCTGCCTCCGGAGACCCACAGACCAGCCACGCCCTGTAGGCCTCCTTCTTCAGCCTGACGGCTCCCCGAACCTCTGGTGTCCACCAGCGGGTACGGGGGTTGCCACCACGACTGGCACCGGCCACCTTACGACCACAGCTAGCAACAGTCGCCTCGACAATCGCAGAGTGGAACAAGGCCCACTCGGACTCAATGTCCCCCACTGCTCTCGGGACATGGTCAAAGCTCTGCCGGAGGTGGGAGTTGAAGACCGTCTTGACAGGTTCTTCTGCCAGGCGTTCCCAGCAGACCCTCACTATGCGTTTGGGTCTGCCAGGTCTACGCGGCATGTTCCCTTGCCATCTGATCCAACTCACCACCAGGTGGTGATCAGTTGACAGCTCCGCCCCTCTCTTCACTCGGGTGTCCAAAACATACGGCCGCAGGTCAGATGATACGACTACAAAATCTATCATCGACCTGTGACCTAGGCACACACACACATATATATATATAACATGCTGCGGCAAAGCCAGACTCTTATCGCACGATAAAAAAAAAATGACGCCGTTAATATATTCTCAAAGTTGGGTTGGGATCTGGGTTGTCTATACTAAGCTTGATGACTTTCACATTGCGCGGATGGATACTTGGTTGGCGCGGATGTATACTCGGAGCGGATCATCGACATATAAGCGTGGATGTATACGCGCGAAAGAGAACATCATTAATGCCAGAGGAATCTTCAAACGTGACACGCCAACATGGATGCACCTATGAAGCTGCTGGGTTTGCTCCAGGGAAAATTTATTTTTAAGAAACTTCCCAATGGAAACCTTGACAAGATTAAAGTTGTTTGCACCTTGTGCAATGCGGAATTTGTTTACTGTAGAAGTTCTTCCAGTCTCAAGTACCACCTAAACGCTAAGCATCCCTTAGCTCACATATTTCAGAGTCAAGGCCCGCGGGCCAGATGTGGCCTGTGGAGCATTTTTATGTGGCCCGCGAGATAAATATCAAAAATATATTAAAACTGGCCCGCTGGCTGATTTTACCGCAAAGACTCCAACTCCCATGATGCTTTGCGGCGTCAGCGCGGAGCCAAAGCGCCCCCTCCTTTGTGTTTTTTCAGCGCCTGCTGCCGGTGTCAGCAGCTCTGCTGTCTCGGACAAACTAAACACTCCTCTCACTCAGCGCCGAGTTCACTCAGCTATTTTCTGACGTTGAAGCCCAGAAACGGAGATTCTAGCCACTCAGTAATGTGTTCACGACTGAAAGAGAAAGTTTTCCAACTAACGTCCACACAGGGCTGATATAACTCCAGCGAACAGCGACACGCTCAAACCAGCATGACTCTGTGGTTGCTGTCGTCGTGTTTCCCCTCCGACACACAACAACGTGGCCAAGCTGCTCAGACATGTTCATCAGCACAAACCTATGTGAGCACCTGTTGTCATCTAATGTTGTCATTATTATGATGAAGATGAACAAAACAACAGGAGTCTCCTCCTCAGCTCAGATCAACCCCATGATGCAGGTATCTGGCTGGAACAGGTGAGCATCACAGTAAACCAGTGGAGCAAACTGAGCTTTAAATATGTTGGTTTTATGCTCTTTTTCTGCTCCAAAACATGAAAGTTAACAGGTGAGATGTTGCATTTTCATTTAAGATAAAATGATATTTTTATTTTGTTGTTGGCCCGTGAGAAAAGATTTAACTTACAGTAAACAGGAAGTGGAAAGGCTGCAGATAGATGAATAGAATAGAAAATCCCTTTATTGTACCTCAGTGGGGAAAGCTAGACGTCACAGCAGTGATGATACGTATTACAGGAGAAAACAAGGAGAATAAAAAATAAGAAAAATGAATAAACAAGAAAACATAAATCCTGAATAGATTTTAAAAATGCTGATTATACCACAAGTAATGAATACCACTGATGCCTTTTATTTAAAACTGACTTGCTTGTGTGTAATTTGGTTATTCCACATTCAGTGTTAATGCAGAAATAAGTTTGTTTCCATATTTAAAGGTTCAAAATTGCATATATGTTGATAAAGAAAAAGTGCAAATTTGCCGTCACTTTTTCAAAAATATGAAGTTTGGCCCTCGACTCCGTCCCAGAGTTTCATTTCGGCCCCGTGTGAGTTTGAGTTTGACACCCCTGCCTTAGCTCATTTGGAAGATGCTGGACCAAGTGTTGCGCAGGGGAAGAGTTTTCGTCAAACTACTATGTTTGAGTGCAACCGAGG